GGAGCGCGGCCGAGCTCTCCAGGTCACAGCGAGGCAGTTTTCTGGGAACTGTGTAGCCCACCTGTACGTGTTTAAACTTTGCTGTGCTTAATACCAGTAGACCGGTCAACCGGTAATAGAATAAAACTCAAATAGATCAATTTAAAAAAGTTCTTCAGGTGAAGGTGGAGAAGGTGACATATGTTCTGCAGTATCACTGGTGTTAGGAAGCCAGCAATCATCTATGAGAGCAGGGTCAGCTACATCTTCTCTGAAGGAAAAACCGTCTGGAAAAATGCCAATTTGGCTGTCAGTGTTCGAAAAGGGAAGTCTTAAAAACCCCACAGGTTTGGGCTCCCCAGTTCCAAAGAGACAGGGACCGACTGGAGAGAGTCCAAGGGAGAGCTACGAGGGGGATCAAGGGACTGAACATCTCTGCTGGGAAGAGAGACTGAGAGACCTGGGGCTGTTCAGCCTGGAAAGGAGACGGCTGAGAGGGGATTTATTGACGTAGGGAAATATCTGAGGGGTGGGGGTCAAGGGGAAGGGGACAATCTCTTCTCAGTGGTGCCCAGCGATAGAACAAGGAATAATGGGTTTGAGTTAGAACATGGGAAGTTCCACCTCAGCGTGAGGAGTAACTTGTTGGCTGTGCGGGTGCCGGAGCCCTGGCCCAGGCTGCCCAGAGAGGGTGTGGAGTCTCCTGCTCTGGAGACTTTCCAACCCGCCTGGACACGTTCCTGTGGGGCTGCCCTGGGTGACCCTGCTCTGGCAGGGGGTGGCACTGGGGGATCTCCAGAGGTCCCTTCCAAACCCCCAAAGATTCTGTGATTCTATGAAATGCCGATATACCATGAGAAACAACCGCCTGCATGAATTTGGTCAGCGTACACAAGTTTTTCGAGCAGGAGAGGCACTTGGACAGCTGCTTTAGTGACTGGTCACTGGCTTCAAAAGATGCAAAGGAAGTAAAATTTTTTAACATTGGAGAAAGTTAGGAATTGCTTGAATAATTCTGTGAGTCAGTGGAGAAATGCTTTCCTGGTTGAAGAATTTAGCCACAACAGGTAATAGGACTAGTTTTGTGATACATGCATGTAAATGTTTCTTTCCTGAACCATGAAAGTGATGGGGTTTCAATCCGAACTTTGCTGAAAAGTTTTCGTTTTCACTGCAGGGTCATCTTTTATTACTGGCTCAGAAGAAGATGATTAGAGTTTTAAGTAACTAATCTATATAATTACTAATCTATATAACGCAAGAAAGCTGCAAATACTTTTTATTTAATCTCAGTTAATTCATAAAAGCCCTCTATGCACATGACTAGAGCTAGAATTAATCCACATGACTTTATAGAATAAAGTAAAAAAACCCAAAACTGAGCCTTCTGAAGAGTCGTCTGCCCCTGCATACTCACAGGAAAAATTTTAATGTTCTATGACCCAACTATTAAGCAAGAGGAGAAAATGGAGAGATGCATGAATAATGTTGTTGTATGAGCGGGCATTTAAGTATCTTTGACTTTACAACAATTGTAGAAATACACTTCACTTTTTCAATCTATTGTCTTTCCAGGACACACCACAAAAATCAAACTTTTTTGGGGAGAACCCAACAGAGATAGCATTTTCTATTCCTTTTGCTATTGCTTCAGTAATAGCTGAGTAGTAGTCTGTGTCTCTACTTTCTGTCTATTTACTTGACAATAGACAAAATACAAATTGAATTATAATAACCATGTAGTCATATGCCCTGTGTGAAGTACGGCAAGAATTACAGATGGAAGATGTCAAAAAAGAATGGGAAAATTCCTAGCCCTTCCCATCAATACAGGTCGCTTGGAAAACCCACATCAGTGGTATTTCTACCGAACTATGGTGTGTTCATTTTTGAAAAGAGGGAATGAAACAATAAAAGGCTCTAGGAAACGTAACAAATTACATAGTGAGTGGTCCTTATCTTTCAAAAGATTTTCCTCTTTTGGAGGATACTGAGCTCCTCTAAGTGGCTGAGTATGTCTTGCTTCAGAAAGAATTGAATCAGGTCTTAAGAATTTATTGTAGGAAACAGCGTGACGTAAGCAGAATCTGAGGTGGGCAGACAAGACTCTGTGGCGGGTGTTTTTTACTGATTTTTTCATACATTATTTACTCTGGTCATGTGGTCAAACTCTAGGTAATTATCCCGGCAGACAAGACTCTGTGGCGGGTGTTTTTTATTGATTTTTTCATACATTATTTACTCTAGTCATGTGGTCAAACTCTAGGTAATTATCCATGCCTCTAATTATGCCAACTAGATACTGCATGTTTCTTATTCTGTGTATTAGAAGCATTGCGTAGTATTGTTTCCTCAGGCATTTGCTTTGTTCACCCCCGATGTAGCTGCATTCTAGATGGCAAGTCTACCGACAAAAGTGTTTCAGCATCGATATTTGGAAACCAATAATTTTTCTTCTGTGTAGAAGTTGCTGGGGGATTTTCTTTAACATGTAAAAAGTTGGAAAGTTCTAGGAAATACTGAGTTGCTCTACTATGCCAGTATGAGAGCCTAAAGGTAACAAGTGAGAAAGAATTGTCCAGAGCTGCTGGCTGTGATGAAGGAGATGATGGGATGTGCTGGGTGAAAGGCTGGCAAGAAATAATCCGGGGCAGTTACTTGCAGAACTGGTCAAGTTTCTGGAAATACTTAAGGGAGGATGTTGATTTAGTATTATCAAAAGATAGACTTACTTTTGTAATACTGAGTCTTTGGAAGTATGTACCTTGCACGTGGCAATTTTAAATCTCAGATACGCACCAAACTCTTCTTCCATTGCAGCACAATGCTCAGAAAGGCCTAGATTTAAGGACAGCATCAGTTATATTTGAGAAGAAAAATTAACTGTTAGCTGTAAGGTCTTGGATTCCTGTGAAATGGTAGTTCTCAGGCTCATACAATGAAGCTCGTTCATTAATTACAGCCACCGCTAACCTTGCAGAGTACAGAGTCTGACAGAAATGCAAGCCAGGCTATCCTCAGTGTCTTGCAAAGCATCCTGAATCTCAATGCATCAGTCACACCATCTTTTAGCAAAAATTAGCACATTTGTGAATTGAAAGCGAAGAATGCCTCTAGCTTGGCCTTGAGGCATTGGAAACTCGGACATAGCCTAAAGTAAACTGGCATTAAATGAAAATGTGGGGTTTATGAACATGTCCTGTCATCTAATTGTAATGCTGATGCTACAAACAACCGATATGATTACAGTTTCTCCCCTACTCCCAACTTCTCCAGGTTCTAGTACTCAGACAGATTATTTTTTAATGTAATCCATTTGTAAGTATCCTAACTTAATATCTTCTTTTGTGAGTTCATTAAAAAAAACCAGCAACCCTAGAACTAATTGCCTAGAACTAAACTGGAACTTGCCTAGAGCTAACCTAGAACTTGCCTAGAACACAACTGCCTTCCAGTACCTGAGGGGAGCCTACAGGGAGGCTGGGGAGGGACTTTTTACAAGAGTGTGCAGCGATAGGACAAGGGGAAATGGGTTTAAGTTGAAGAAGAACAGGTTTCGATTGGATCTTAGGAAGAAATTCTTCATAGAATCATAGAACACAGAACAGTTTTGGCTGGAAGAGGCCTTCAAGATCATCGAGTCCAACCTTTTCCCAGCCCCATCAACACCGCTAAACCACATCCTTCCAGGCAACATCTACCCTTCTCTTACGTTGTGGGGTTTTTTTAGTACTTCTGAATAATGACATAGTCTCTGGAAAAAGTTTTCATTGACCTGTTCTACAGAAGAATTCTTTCCTCAGTCTACCTTCAGCTTTGCGCAGCGGTGTGCTTACGGCACAGGAGTTACATCATGGAAAGAGCAGGTGCTGACTTTCTCAAAAGCACTGTAGCAGTACTATTCACTTTTTTTTTTCAGGACTTCTTACCAGATTGCAGACTTCAGCTCCCACAATACGAACTCTATCATCATCGAATTCCTTTTCTCAAAACATTCCAAGCTGTTTGTGGAAACTGGGTCGACTTAATCACGTAGCGATCGCAGTACCCGATTTGGAGAAAGCGCAGTCCTTGTACAGAGATGTGTTGGGCGCACAGGTGAGCGAGCCCGTTGCTCTTCCCGAACACGGTGTCTACACTGTTTTTGTGGAGCTGGGAAATACCAAGCTGGAACTTCTACATCCTTTAAGAGAAAAAAGTCCCATTGCAAGTTTTTTGCAAAGAAACAAGACTGGAGGAATGCATCACATCTGCATTGAGGTATTTTAACACAGTGTTATATATAAGAGAGAGAGAGATTGAAGTATGTGTAATTTTCTCATAGGTATGACTTGTGTCAAGAACAAACGTGAGGCTGTCACATTCCTGAGATTTTATATTGCATAAGAAGTCTTCTTAAATGTGCCTTTTTTTCAGTTTTGGAAATTCCAGTTCAATTTCCTGAGCAGTGTGAGACTTTTTTCCTCTTTTCTGCTATAAAGATTAAATTGGGGAGGAGAAGGTTAAGTATCCAGTGTGGAAGGTGGATGAGCCCAAGGGTTTGTGAAGAGTGTGTGACAGGTGTCAACTTCCTGACATAGAAAGGACATACTCTGGAAAAAGCTGAGGTATAGTTTAGATTTTCTGAAGTTTCTCCCTGTTTGTTACTTAGCTGATAATTCTCTACAGAAGTAAAAAGCCCCACATTGTCAGTAGTACTGCAGTACAGCAGTAAAGTTAGAGCGTGGTGCTGATACACCAAGGTCGTGGCTTCGATCCCCATTCAGTCCCCATGTGTTGTCTGATCTAGTCGAGAGGCGTCCCTGCCCGTGACAGGGAGGCTGGATTAAAATGATCTCTAAGGTCCCTTCCAGCCTGGGCCAGTCTATGATTCTATGATTTCTTCTTCCTGTTCTTCCTTGCCCACCAAAGAGAGGCTGGCCTGGAAGTACACAATATGTAAAGGTGCTGGGTAAAGTATTTTTATATTATTTAGTTATTTAGTATATTCCTGTTTTAGTGTAAATGTGTGTGCAAAAATTCATGCGGTTGCCTGTGATACATTTTTAATATTTTACCAATCTGAAGGTGCTGGGTAAAGTATTTTTATATTATTTAGTTAATTAGTATATTCCTGTTTTAGTGTAAATGTGTGATGCAAAAATTCATGCTGTTGCCTGTGATACATTTTTAATATTTCACCAATCTGAGTCTTACAGTCTTTATTCTTTCATGCAAAATGTAATAAGAAAAAAAAATGGGTTTACTGATGGGAGTAAAAATTGTTTTCTGAATGCAGCCATAAACACCTGTGTTTCAGTTGCACGCTTTCGTTGGAAATTGAGACATTTTGCATACACACAGGCACTGCAATTTTTCTTACTTTAAGTTCTCCTATTTGCAGATGTTCAGGAATAAGAAAATGAATTCTCTTTAAACTGACCCTAAATTGCATTGCTAGGCAGCTCTGCTGTAGAAATGTGAAAGATCTCAGCTGAATTTAGGAAAAGGGAGATATAGTAGAAAGAAGTCATTTGCACTAAGACTGAAAAAACCCTCCAACCCTCTCTAAGGCCAGTGGTACTTGCTTATAGATAGGAGAGAAAGAAGTTGTAGGCATTTCTCAGCAAAAAAGAGCTCAAAGCTCCCAAGTGTTCCAAGTATATGTAACTCCTTTTCAAGGTGTTTCAAGAAATATTTGTTCCCAGCTGCAATTGTTCTCTGTAGGTCTCCATTTGATATGAGAGATGGTCTTGCTGCAGATAAACCAGGCATGGCTGTCGAGGGAAGTCATACTGCTAATCATGAAAACTGAGGAGGCTGGAATATTCTAATTATACCATAGAATCATAGAATGGCCTAGGCTGGAAGGGACCTCAGAGATCATTTAATCCAACCTCCCTGTAATGGGCTGGGACGCCTCTCAACTAGATCAGGCAACACATGGGGACTGAACCACGTTGGACAATGTAGAAGCATTGGGTTAAAAAATAAGATTTCTGTTTGCAGTAGGTCAAGCAAGCCAGAAGTCATCATCTAGCTGTTAGTTTCCATTAATTGGGTGAGCTAGTGCTACTTGCAGCCAGCGTTTCCTAAATATAGTTTTGTAACTCACTGAGGGGTTCTTTAAAAAAATAAATAAATTAAGATTGTCTTACGTCCCTCATGTTTGTCTCTATGTAAAAACAAATGGAAGATTATAGACTAATTTACATGGAGAAAAAAAGCAATCCATAAACCTGCAGTTTATGTGGGACTGAAAACAGCTTTGGTCACTACTCTAGTCAATCAAAAAGATATTAACCTCCCTTCTGTAATTTTCCACTCTCCTCAGAATGAAAAATCTTTTACCATTTCAAAGATATGTCATCTTCTGAAGTTGAGCAGAAAGAGTTTTTAGAAACTCTATAAAAGAACATCAATTGATGTTCATTTGAAATTTAAAAAAGATTTTGTAGACTATCTTCCCATAGACGACTTTTTTTGTTGCAAAAAGTGGAATTGTAAATTTTTTTCACCATACTGGAGAGGAAGCCTGGCAAGTTTATCAAAATGCTTCGCTTTTCTTCAAATAAAAATTTTAGACAGATGCTTTGATAGGGAATTTTTATCAGACCAAATAAGCGTTTTAAGAAGAAATTAAATTATTCCTGACCAGCTAGAACTGTATTTAATACCTGCAATGACGAGCGTGCTGGACACGTGCTATAACGTGATGCCGATGTGGTGGTGGGTCATGGGCTGGCTTTGATGATCTCTGAGGTCTTTTCCAGCCCCAACGATTCTGTGATTCTGTAATAAGAGAGAAATCCGAGCCTGCTACTCTCTTACCACAGACGTAGCCACAGGCTTTCCCCTGTTCACTCTCTCAGCTTCCTGGGCTGCAGTAACTCCTTGCAGCTGAGCCCAGGCACAGTTTCTCTTCTGGCCACCTCTGCAAGGCAGCAGCAGCAGCTGCAGCGGCTTTTCTGCTTGGGGAAACAACCCGGAGGAAGCTTTGCCACACATTACACGTGCTCTTTTCTTTTAGATAAAAGCTGACAGTCATTTCTATTTTTTTTTTTTTAAGCAGGCTAATAGTTGCACGTAGGAAGAACTGTAGCGAGTTCAGACTTTCCATGAGCAAAATTGCTAAAGATGAGTAGGAATTAACTGATGTCTGTTCCTCTGAATTAAAACTAGGTATTTCCTTCCTCCCTACAACAGCATCGTGCAAGTTTATTCGCCACGTTATGTCCAGACACCTCAGTCTTCAAAACCGGCCACGCTATTATTTTAATTCTAGGTCTTTATTCATTATTGACTCTTGGATTTGCTAAACCAAGAGCTGATTTTATTATTTCAAAGAATGAATGCATTTAAAGTCTGAGAAAATTCAACTTCCATCTGATGGCATGACGTCAGACTTGGGATCACATTATACAGTGTCTATGTGGTTTTGTTAATTATGTATTTCTGCAGGAAACTGTACTGAAGTGCTCTGTTCATGGCTATTATGGTAATTAAGTTCAGTAGGAAACCCAGGTCATATTCTGGGAATACTTCTGATAATTCCAGGGGGTTTCTTAGGAAACTTTATGAAGCTGCACTTTATGAAGTACTTTATGAGGTACTGCAGAGTTTAGATTTTTTATGGAGTCCCTATGAAGTATCAACATAAAAAGATCAAGGGGCTTTGTGCATGAGTGATTTTTGTTTAAAAATTTCCTATATATAGCACAATCTATTTAAATGATATTTTGTAAAATCTTCAGAGAACAAATGCAAACTTCTGTAGCATTTTCATTTTTAAGTCTAGATGTTTTAAAATGTTTTCTAACTGAATTTCTTTTCAGAATTCTACTGGAATTTAGAAATAACAGTTTAGTAAGGAATTGTATTACCGCTTCTAAATGTAGAATCTGCATAATGCAGTGTAATATGTTAATCTGTGTGAACTGTATTTTTCTTTTATAAGGTTGATGACATAAAAGCGGCTGTGACAGAACTGAAGAAAAAAAAGATACGGATATTGAGCGAAGAGCCAAAAATAGGTGCACATGGCAAACCCGTGATTTTTCTTCACCCTAAGGATTGCCATGGAGTCCTTGTGGAACTTGAACAAGCTTGAGCTGTAATATTCATAAATAAAACAATAGATTGGTTGTGAAGTTTACTGAGCTGGTGCTGGGAATATTGATGTGGCGTTCTGTCTTCACAAGTTCGCTGTAGTTCCACCTTCTGAGTACTGAAATAGAGCTACACATTTAGGGATGTTTTCTTTTTTTTGCTGCCATTGATCTAATTTTCAGAATTAATCTGTTGACATTTCCAGAATTCTCTGTGATTCCAAAGACAAATACATGAGCCAAGTTACATCTGTAACATAGTAATTTGTTTGTAGCATGATTTTACCTCTGTAACCACAGAAACTGTACGGTTTCTAGGTCAACCCACAGTATTTTGTTCTACATTTCGGAGCAGAGACCCACTTCTCAGTGACAACAATATAGCTTCGATACTCCTTTCAGAATAAATGAAAAATCAACATTGGATTTTCTGTTTTCACCATTCACCGTCTGCGCTTCACACTGATTGATTGGCTCATGCAATAAAAAAATCCTTCTGTATGGGTGTCTGCAGTCAGTAAGTAAGTTTTCCTCAGCCTCACAACTACTGCCATGGAAGTTACCACGCATAAATCATCATTTACTTGTTCTATGAACTCTCTGGATATGCAGACACTGAGAAAAGTACCTGAAAAATTATTTGCATGAAATATTATTTCAGAATGTTTTTGTTTTCTCACACCTTGAACAGTCATTTTTCAAGCTTAATCCACAGGAAGGTATCTGGGAGAGGCCTGAACAAAGAGCGATTAATCCTTTTGCTTACTTTATAAATCTGGTTTTCCTCTGCAAAAATCACTAACAAAATGAGTGGGAAACACGAGCTGCTTAAATCTTGGTTATGTCTTTACCGTTGGAGAGCACGCCAGCATGCTTATGTTTCTGATGCACTGCAGTCACTCTCTGGTAATTTATTCCTGGCCAGACTTCACTGGTGCCCGTTAAGCAAGCAGTGCTTGTCATGATACTTTCTTTTATAGGTTTGTTTCAACATGTCAGCTGTAGAAATTGAAGACTTGCCATCTTCTCTCTCTAGTTTTCTTAATCCTTAAAAGTCAAATTTTTTTTCCCAAGCTAAACCATGATCTGAGTTTTATATTTTTCCGCATCTCTGCATGTACACTGAATAGTTTCAGCTTGATAGGAAGTAAGTTAATTTTAGTCTAGGTGAACTTTTATTTAATGGAAATGCAATTGTTCGTGTTCTGTGTCATGTTTGCTACAAGTATAATGTTGACCTGAGATGTAAAGAGGGCTTTAAAAACATTGATGCTTCCTCATTAATTTTACCTCTGAAAAAAACTCTGCAAAGCCATGCCTTTTTTAAACGAGCTAGTTTTGTACTCAAAATAACTACTCCTTCTGTTATATTTTAAGAAAAACAGAGTCTTCCACAGGGTTCTTGTGTTTTACGAAATCCCTGTTTAGAGGGTTATTTGTGATCTACACTCTAAATCGCTTGAATTTAGAAATCCTAAGGCTCATGATGGAAAAGGAGGATGATTCGATATTCTTGGAATATGATTCTGCCCTTCTAGGAGACATACAATTAGCAAAGCTGCTTTTGTCTTTGTGTTCTTTCCGATGGGGAGGCATCTTTTCTACAAAACTAGCATAGGAATGCCAAGACTAGAAGTGCCACTGGTTGCACGTCAAGATAATTGAACAGAAGTCCTTGAACCTAATACCCTTAGTGTGGTGCAACCGAAAACAGGGCAGCCCTCCCTAAGTACATACTCCATTTCTTTCTCCTGCCTGAAGGAAATGGCATTTTGTGCATGGTATCTGTCAATACGCTCAGAGGAGTAGCTTGATCTAGTGCTAGAGAATGGAGATTTCGAGTCAAAAGTACTCCACTTAGCTCATTGTGCTCCCCATCTTCCTAGCAGAAGGAGACTTGGAATGCTTTTAGCTAGTAACCACCAATTTTCCTGACTGACTGCAGTGGGGTTGCCTAGCACTAAGTCAGCTGATGTATTTCGTTCATCGTAAGCAAGTCACGCTCCTATCTCCCTCACAGTTTCTACATTTCATCCGACTCCTCCTAAGGTGGAAGTCAAGACATTAACAAAAAACCAAAGCCCCTGGAAAAGAAGAGTTTAGGGCTGCAAAGTTAGTCAGTACCCAAAACCGGGCATGCTTATTACAAGCTCTTACCATTTGGTGGGATCAGACCCTCTTAAGTTGTCTGGGTATGTGCTACGCTATGTGAGAGTTTTCACCTCTGGAGCTCTACACTTGGAAGGAATAGCTAAGAGAGCTGCACAGCTGAAGAATGTGAAGACAGCTAAGACGCACTCAGTGAAGTTTCCTTTTCAGAAGCCTAATTCCCCGAGACTCCAGTGGGAGCAGGATCAGCCCCTTGTAAGAAATTTCTAGTCCTTCACCTTAGACAAGACAGCCTTCACAAGTCATTCTTTGTTCTCACTGGGTGTGGGTTTGGGGGGACGGGTTAGATACATGCACCTTACCCTTTCTTTTTACTGCCAGGATTATAAAACGGGACTTACGTCAAGAAAAACAGTGGAAATTCAGGGATGGAAACTGGAGCAGCAGGGAACTGTGATTTGGGGTTTTTTCCAGTGGAGGGATGCTTAGTAATAACCCCTGCTGCACCAGCGTACAACTTCTGGAATGATCAGCAGTGATTCAAGTAACCAGAGCCTCGGTGGCTGGGAAGGGGATTAGGCTTTGACAATGGGTATTTGGGTTTGGTTTGTTTGTGGTTTGAGGGGGTTTTGTTGTTTTTATTTTTTTCCAGAAGGTACAGCAAAACCGTTTCCGATAATGTCAAGCTTTTTAGAAGATTGTTACTATTTTGCCAGTAAATTTTCTCACGCTTGGGTCGTTTGTCAAGCACAAGTTCCCTGTTTCAATCTCTCCCTTTTTTCTTTTTTCCTCCTCTGAGCTCTAGCCTGTTCCCATTTTATGCTGCCTAAGGCAGACAAGACACATTTTTCTGGACTCCATCAACATTACTCAGGCAGCTAAAGGGCTCATAATTAAATGATGCAAAGTATCTCTTTTGACTTCCTCTATGCAACTTGTAGTCTCTCCTAGGTGGGAGGAGAACAGGTGCAGAATTAATCCTGTCCCATATAATGAGACAAACTTAGAAGCAAACTCAAAAAGCTGAGAAACGAACTGCATGCCTTTAAAAAGCTAACCTTCCAGTTTTGCAAATCTGCAAAAACTGGTCCTGTCATGCTCATACTGCAACTAGTTCACCTGAACTAAAAAAACCCCCAAACCAAACAACCAGCAAACCACTGGGTGTTTGATTTTGAATTCAGTTGCTTTCATTATTATTGTATTAACCCAATTAATCACAAGTTTGGGAAGGATGTACTCTATCACAATGCCACTTCATACAATTAACACAGCCTGAAAATTTAGAAAACTGCGAATGAATTACAAGAGGAACTGGGGATGGCACTTTCTCCTGCAGAGCGCTTCCTGGGTGCGCATTACTTCTGCATTTAATGCTGAGACTAGAGTTTACTTTCTAAATGCACGTGCAGAAGCATTGCTGTCTCTTGTTAAGGACAGTCCTTGGATTTGGACTTTATTGCTGAGGTTGGTGTGACCAAGGGAGTCTCACAGAAAGATCAGGACATGAGGAGATGTTTGCAGGATCTAGCTGAGGCACTTACAGTTGGTGCTCTGGATGATCTCCTTGGCGCATCGCTTGATTCTCCCCTTAAAAGAAATTCTTCCTGTAGTGACTTGGGTTTGCTGGACTCAAGAAGCCTTAATTGAGAGGAAAAGTTAAGAGTTAATTATTTCAATATCTGATTCGTTTATCAAAGCAGTTGACATTTTGGCCACATTATTAGCAATCGCTGAAATGGTTGCCCCGGTGCTTCTTGTAAGGCTGCAAGGTGGCACTAGACACAGAAAGGTAACCAACCCTTTAAACTGGGAAACTCAAATCATGTAAGATTAATGTGGAGATGGAAAGTAACAGCAATGCATAAATTAATTGGCCAAATGCCAACATTTTAAAATGGAAGACCTCACCTTAGGAATGAAAAATCTGTCACCTTTGATAAGCATTTTCAAAGCAGTTTGCACGTTTTGCGAAACGTAAACTTATCTTATTGTGAAGGAGGGAGGTGTGCTTCCTGGGATGGTATAATCTGTAAATTATCTTTAAAGCATCTTATCTAGTTTCATGTTCACTCGCACTGTCTTGCACATTGTTAAACAACATTGTTAACTGCTATCAGAGGTTCACGAATGAGGAAGAATTCCCTCAAACATTTAAAAATAATGGCATTTTGAAGCACTTTGTGACTTTTCTAGGTGTAATCTGAAGCGATCTTTTATCATAAAAATACCAAATAGGTATGAAAATGTTCTAAAAAATAGATATTTATTGTAGATTTTAACTTATTTTTACCATTGCCATTTTTTTTCCAGTGATAAAGATAGGTTTCAACTATAATTAAAAAAATATCTGAAGTAACTAGGAAATGCGAGGACTCTGAAGGCATATGTGACAATGCACCATTTGCATTACATAGGGGGAATATCCTACTTCTGCATCTGTAGCTGGCTTGTATGGAAAAGATTATTTCCAGAAACTGAAGACTAGCAGAGAGGTGCGTTATCAGACTGATATTACGCACCTTATTTTTCCCTTCCGCTTTGGGATGCAATTTTCTATAATAACCATCTGTCTGAGTCACTGTCTTCAAAATAAAGTGTGGGGAGAAAGTTTGTTGGGAACTTAAATTTAAGAAGTTAGCAAAATAAGTCCTGTTCCCTTTGCGATCCTGCAGTCTTTGAGAGGTCAGGTGTAGTACAATACTTGCAGCTGCAGGAACTTCAAAAAGAAGACACATACTTGCTCTATCAAGCTGCTTTTGGTGTATTGGTTGAGAAAATTCGCTTATGTGCATGAGGATATTTCAGCAAGTTAAACAACGCATCAGATTATATATATATTATATAGAGAGAGATTATATATAACTTTCTGTAGTGCTGTGTAAAACAATCATGCATTGCAGTTTATGTAATGTTTGAGTTTCTCATTATCTTCAAAAGACAACTAAAATCAGTCAGGTACTTAGGATATAGAAAGGGACAGATGAGGATAGTCACCGTAGGAAGCCATGATAGGAAGCAGCCTTTTAAT